TATTACTGTTATTACTATTATTATTGTTGTTGTTATTATTATTATTGTTGTTGTATTATTGTTATTTATAATTTGTACAATTAACCTCCCTGTGGTTCGACCCCGGTCTTGCCGGATTATTTATTACTTCGACACTCCTGCACTTTGGAGAAGACATCAATCTTTTCGTTGTAGAATTAAATTGCTTAAAATAAAATTTTAAGGACTAAAATAAATAATAAAAAATGCACTGTACCATTAATATGTTATCTGTGTATATGAACAGTGTTGACTCCATAATACTCAGCAAAACTTGTTTTGTTTTTTTTTTTTTTTAATCTAATCAGAATGAGAAGATGCCCCGAGCTAAGTGATCCTCACGTAGGAGAAGTTGAAGATAACTGAGGCATAAAATAGAGAAGTTGAAGATACAGCAAATATTTAACACCACCACTCACAAAAGAAAGCTCCAAGCATATATAAAAAGCTAGCAGCCTCTATACTCTTCTCATGCTAGCCATGGAACCAGAAGCAAGCAAACATAACATGTAAATCAGAGCACTTAGGAGTAAGTTGGCGTGATATGATTTTTATTCTTTATAACAAAATCAGATCATAATTGTCAAAGACCAATGATAGTTGATTGCTTTTCATAAACGAGTACTCACATCACCCTTTTTATCTTCACCTATCATCCACTTTTTAAACATGCCTTTTAGCTTTAATCAATATCAAAATATAAAATAATTTTCCAAGTCAAATGATCGGAAATATCACTAGTGCCGGCCTTTTGAATATTCTAGCATTGCACGCATCATATATATATACCATGATCACAATCTAGAAGCTGGTCAGTGTTGTGCGATGATTAACAACAATTAACATGTAAGCGTTCGATCACCAACTTACATCACGCTATGTTTAAGACTTCTCTAATTTTTTAATTCTCATATGATCATTACTATATATATGTATCACTATCTTGCTTGAACTCTCACACCACTAACCCTTCTTTGAACTTTAATCCTTCAAACCATTTGCTCAACCCGTTTGATTGCAACAAAAAATGGAGGTGATGAACAAAATACTCTCCGAGAGCGATGCTAAAAATAAGCGACTCGAATTTCCGTCTAGGAGTCTCTCGGCCTTCCCCATGCCAGATGGTCAGAACTCGGTCCAATTTGTGGCATTTGACATGAACGAACAGCAATGGAGTCTTAAGGTCTCCATCCGCAATGAAGGTAGGTATCCGAAACCTTGGCTAAAGGGCGAATGGCATGACTATGTTCATCAGAAAGGGCTCAAGAAAGGAGATAAAGTTATCTTGACAATGCATGAGGAAGAGAATGGCGAAAGAATTTACCGTATCAGAGCTGAAAGAAAGCTTTTCGGTTTCTGGTATTCAATTGATGATCATCAGTAATAGCTCTCCATAAATCGAAGCATGAGGCTGGGCTTATGTTTAGTGCGACAGGCATGCAGAAACTATCTTTTGGATCTGTCTGAATTAAGTTCACTCTGGTTGTGTAATGAGTTAGGTCAAAATAGAATATATGTCTGTCTTGCAGAAGGTAAGTCCTAGCTAGTCGTAAGAACAAATGTCCCTATGAATTTGTTTCCTTCAGTACTCTGCCTTGGTGTTCTGTCATTGTTGTATTTTGTTTTGGGTATTATGCTTATTTATGTGGGATGTGCTTTGTGTCTGTTGGAGTGGATACAGTTCCAACATCTTTGATTAGGTTTGTTCTACTGCCTTTGTAGACATCCCCAACAAGGATGATTCTTGTATCTTCACTTCTAATTTATATTATATAAAAGAAATTCTTGTATGTGTGTATGGTTTTTAGCTTCCGGCAATTTCTCATATATTTGGGTAAAAAAAACATTTTTTGCCTCTAAATCTAGTTCCAACTTCTATTTCTCATGTTTTTTTTCTTCTAATTGTATCTTGCTCGCATTATCTAATCCATATGCCAACTCTTGGCTTCCATATAAGATATAATCCATCACAACTTTTGATTTATATGTGTTAGGTCAATTTAATATGGATTAACAAAATAATATAAGGGTTATATAAAGATAAGAATATACCACTCACCATAATTTTTAAGCATTTGGTTAAAGGTAATGTTGATTGTTACTTCTTATGAACACCCATTGGGACAAAGATAATGTTGATTGGTTTCTCTTATGAATATCCATTAAGTCAAAGAAATTGTTGGTTAGCAATGGTCCTAATGTCGGCTAAGACGGCGGATCCGACATAATTCAGTGCTTCAACTTTATTGCTTATTCAAGAACAGTCAAACTTTAGAGTATGACAGCCACCCTAACATCATAAGCAACATATAAATTATGTAAGATTAGCCGCAATCGATGTAAGATTTGAACAAATTTTCTTCTTATTGACAATGACTTCTCAGTTAGTTTTCAGTTTATCTTTTCCAAGAAAGATATATAGAATCATAAACGATCTTTAGTTCAAGTGTACAGGGAGATGACATTTAATTTTCCGACACTCTAATAAATACAAACTAATTGGATATCTTTTTTTTTCATTGCATACATATTTGGATATTATAAAGCAGGTTCTTGAACTGGTTAGGTATTGGATGATTCATGTCCACAAATAATAATTAGATATTAATTTAGTAAAATGATACTGTGATAGAAAAAATTTTAAATTGATAAATTAAGGCTATAAAATATTATGGGGTATGTGGCAAGTTAGAAATAAATTGGTGTTTGAGGATCAATTACCATATTAAGATTCTACCTTTAAATTAATCTTATATCATCTTGCTCTATCTTGGAAGACTATAGAGCTAACTTTATTTGTATAGGTTTGGATTTATTTAGAGGACCAAAAATCTACTTGGTTTCAGTTATTTTATATTTTCATTTAACTAAGACTATTTATTATTTGTTTGCCAGTTTGTCATCTTTTTGATGGCTTTGGAATCTTAATAAAATCTTTTTGATTTGGTATATAAATTAATTATGTATATTTGTCACTGCATTTCAAAAGCACTTTTAAAAATATTTAAAAAAATTTTTTGTTTTAAATTAATATGTTTTTTATATTTTCAAATTATTTTAATGTGCTAATCTCAAAAAATAATTTATAAAAAATAAAAAAAATATTATTGATATATTTTTCTAAGTAGAAAGTATTTTAAAAAATAACCGTAACCACATTTCCAAACATATTACGGATTTATATTAGAAGTGGACATTAATAGGTTTGGTTAGGTTGGATAAAAGAATCCAATCAAATTGAAATATTTTTATAAAATATTAAATCAAACTGAAATAAATAAATAAATAAATAAATAAAATCATTAGTGTGGTTTGGTTTAACTTTTATGAAAATTGAATAAGTTTAAATTAATTTAAAAAATGGGCTATTTTCATCAATTTTTTTAGACAAAAAAGAAGTCGTTTAGTGTAGTTGATTATATATAATCTCAGTTTTTCTAGTTTTATTTTTTGTTTTTTGTTTATAAAATTTAAAATTAAAATCGAATTGAAATGATTTTTTTCTTAAAAATTGTAAAATTATTTTTTTAGTTTAATTTCTCAACTCGAAATTTTAAGTTAATTTGAGATTGAATTTTATAAATATTAGGTATAATCTAGTTATTTTTCTAAGCTGGAGTACATTACACGAACCATAGTTTTTAAACCCGGCCCGGTGGTTAAAGGCCCGGGTTCCGGGTTTTGACCGGGTCACCGGGTCAGCCGGGTCAATTTTTATTTTAAAAAAATTCAAAACAATATTGTTTTAGTAAAAAAAAAAATAAGAGATTTAAACTATATTTTTTACCAGATTTTATCGGATCAACTAAATCACCGAATTATATCCAATCATGACTTTTTTTATTTTTATTAGATACAGTCCAGTTTCAATCTTAGAATGATAGGTTCCAGATCAACTTAGCAAACGAAACCGGATTTTAAAACTTTGAAACGAACAGCTGAGCTAGGTGGTCTGATATTTCAGATTACCTTTCTTTTGTTTTCTTTTCTTTTCTTTAAACTTTTTGAATACAATATAGAAGGCCCATTGTCACGCGACAATTAAGAAAAAGTTAGATGTAAACGAGCGACAATCACTCTATCATGACAAGATAAGCCTGCAAACTCTTCTATCTCTATCTCTATCTCTTTAAATCTCATGTCCGTACGTGAAAAATCGGTAGCACTTTTGGCTTCTAAAAAACAAAAGACAAAAGATAGATTAATGTTTGATAAGGCAGACCACTTCCAACTAGTGTTACCGACAAATACATTCTTTTTGGCGACGACATTGATTTCAGGTTATCTTTGTCAAACTTTACGAGTCCAAGAAAGATAACGTAGAATATCACCAAACCACTTCCAACTGCTTTCAATTATTGGGAGATATATGTTCACTTATGGTAAGCAAACGTCAGCTCTGGCCAGTGTCCAAGGAGATGAAACATTAAATCTTTCCATTTATCTTTGACCTACTCAAATAAACGACCAGACTTGCTCGTTCTTTTCTTTAGGGAGTTGGTGTGATGTTATTTTCTTAATTTCGGACAGAGTTATCTTGCTTAGAAAGACCAGTAGTAGAATCAATCAGATTAATATAATTTATATTATTTTTTTAATATAATATCATCTTATGTTATTAATTAATCTCAAGTATAATAGAAAAAGAAACTTGTAAAATTCGAATATATAATTATATGATGATCAAAATTCTAATATATTATTAAAAGATTATCTCAATTTAAAAGCTTGATTTTTTAAATAAAATCTTAAATTTAAATTATTTTTAATAGTAATAGTAGACCAATATATCCCACTAATCAAGCATTCAAAGCGGTATTAATCAAGCTTACAATCAATCGATAGTGTGTTTTTAGTTACATATTCTTTTCAATGAGTTAATTTACGAGTTGTAAAAATAATAAAAAAATATTATCAGATATTAGAAGCAGATTAAAATAGACACTGTATGAAATCTCAACAAGAGAGACAAGAGGAGATTTTGCACATTGTATCGCACGATAAGTTACATTGGAGCGAGCGGCAATCACCCTAATATCGCACGATAAGTTTGCAAACTCTTCTATCCTTCGGCTTTGAAGCTCATGTACCTGCTTACCATTTTTTAAATTAATAAAAAACAAATAGCCACTACACGACAAGAGGTCTATATCCTAGCAATCAGCGTCGCTGATGTTTTTCTTAAGAGACGGTGATCGTGATCCCTGCTATTTATGGAGGCCAATGGCGGCGGAAGATTATATATAGTATTCCGCTACGGTTCACAAATATATTTTATATCATCCAAAAATATGTATCTTAAACATTATTGAGTTTTGATAATTATATTTGTTAGAAACTGCTAATTCGTTTTTTTACATTAAGTTTAAAATAATTAAACAGATTATATAATTAAATAATATCTTAAATATGATATCATTTATTAAATCATAATAATATCTTAAATAATATTTTTTTTGTTTGACCATATAGCATAAGGCATGCTAATGATGTAATTTAAAAATTTTATGGAATATAAAGAATGGATTTCTGACATCCTATTTTTTGATGGTGAATGGTCTTTGTTTAAAGAGTCGCCACCTAGTATTACAATTACTAAGAACCCTAACTGGTCAACAGAGATTCTATGGTTCAAAACTGGTTACATAAAAGAGAAGATATTATCACCCCTTAAATATCCTGCCTAAGACAGGCTACATTGTTGATCTTTGTTATTAATTGCTAACATTTTTTTTGTAGGTTTATACTATGATTGTTTGTGTGTAATATTCCTGACTCTAGCGCCAGTGAATATTCAACTACGAATATTTTCAACTCTGACGTTGGTAAATATTACGTAGGTATCAAAATAAATAAATTTTACTCATCATTTTTTTTTTTATTTCTGATTTTGGCGTTAGTGAATAAACAAATAAAATCAATTTATTTTTTACGCATACGCATTATTTTTATTTTTATGTAGTTAAATAAAGACAAAACAAAAAAAAAATATAATAAATTTACATTAGTATTTTTTTTATTTTTGACTCTAGCATCAATGAATATACCGAATAAATTTATTTTATTTTATCTTATGTTATTTTTTTGCACGCATATTTTTTTATTTTTATATAACTAAATAAAATACAATGAAATAAATTTGAATTGGTATTTTTATTCTGACTCTGGCTTTAATGAATAAAAAATAATATGAAATTTTTTACATACACAATTTTTATTATATATTTTTTATATTTTTTATCTTTTTATTTTTTTTATTTTGGGCTAGGCTGAGCTTAATCCAACCCAGCATATATATTGGTGGTTGGGCTGAGCTCAGCTCCACAGGGGCTGGGCTAGGCCCCACCAGCCCGGCTCTGTCACTAGCCCAAGCCAGTGATCGGCTGGGCAAATGGCTGATGCACGCATGAAGCACTTTCACGCGTGCATCAATAGTGCGAAGGTAATTAAATTACCTTTACACTGTTCAAATGCAATTTGAACACAGAAGAGCAAAAACAAATGGAAACAGGCACATCTGTTTCTGGAGATTGCGAAGAAGGCTGCAACGCTGGTGGGGTTTAACTGCATTCCGTTTTTGGCGATGGTGAGGAAGGCTACAATACTAGTGCGGGTTCGAATGCTTTCGGTTTCTGGCTATGGTGAGGAAGGCTGCAACACCGGTGTGGGTTCGACTGCTTTCTATCAATAACCAACGGTTCAGTGATCAATTGTTTTCTTGCAGGGATGAAAACAGGGTTGATCTGTGACTCCCCTCTACCTTTCTCTCCTTTTCTATATATATATTTTTTGGTTTATGCCCTGTTTTTTTTTTTGTTTTTTTACTCTGTTTTGGGTAGATGTTTCCGTTCTTCTCTGTATTTTTTTTTGTAGTGTTTTGTTTGCTCTGTTTTTCTGGGTTGATTACTCTGTTTTTCTGGGTTCCTCCTCCCCCTGGTGCTAGGTTTTCTGCTCCCTTTTATAGAGACCCACAGCTTGCCCCTTATCAGTTCTGCCTTTGCAGGATTGTATCTTCCACGAATGAGATCGTGGGCAAGGGGCGTGGTCCACGATTGGATCTGTTGCAGATTTTCAGGTCTCCGGTTGAATCGGGATGAAGAAGATCACATGACTTTCCCACCAGCAATGGTGACGTTTCGGCCAAAAGACACATTTTCACTTTGACCCCTGAACTTTGAAAATTCAGCAATTGGATTTTCACTTTGACCCCTGAACTTTGAAAATTCAGTAATTGGACTCCTAAGCAATTAAAAATTTCTTTTAATTTTGCCCCTTTTTGATTAATTTCAATTAAATCCCTAAATTGGTACATTATTTACAAAACAGTCTTTAATTCCTGGATTATTCAATTTGGTCCTTAATTAATTCTTTTAATTTTGCCCTTTTGAATTAATTTCAATTAAATCCCTGAATTATAACATTGTTTACAAAACAGTCCTTAATTTCTAGATTGTTCCATTTAGCCCTTAATTAAATCTTTAACTTTTAATTCTTTCAAAATTGATCCATTAACTCTCAAATTTATATAATTACATCCTCAAACTTCAAATTTTATGTTGTCTTAACTCCATTGTCAACTATATTTAATTTTTATTATTTTTTCAAAAATTGGGTTATGATATTATTAAATTTATGGTTCGAGTTATGTACATTAAAAAATAATAATTTTAAATATGAAATTATAAAAAAATTATAAAAAACAAGAATTCATCAGCGTAATTATTTTGAATATAAATAAATTAATATGGATAGTTTTAAAGAATAAAAAAATCTCAATGTTTTAAAATTGCCCATGCCTTGTACTTATGGAAACTAAAAGAATAATGTTGATTGTGGTCGTGCTATCTAATGTAGGCCACGAAGCTGTTAAGAAATATATATATATATATCTTATTTTATTTATTAATGATAAAATAATATTTTCAGTTTAGCCTATATATAATTTCTTTGTATTTAGGTTAATTGAACACTTTAGAATATTGTAATTAATGAAAACCTTAGCCTTTTTCTCTTTTATGTTCATATTTGTTTCTTGTTAATTTGGATTGTTTTAACATGATATAAGAGTTAGTTTCATGGAATAAGGCTTATTCTCAAACACAATTTTTGCAGATCCAACTATGTGGTGAGTTAGCTGAGGATTTGCAAGGGGCAGCGTGCTCCTGCTGGGGTTCAGTAATATGTCAGTAGAACCTATGTGGTACCTAAGAATACTGAAAAAAGGGATACTGCTTTAATAGATGCATGAGAAACAAATAATGCAAAGATTATTGCTTAAATTCACAATTGGCGAAGTAGAAGATAGTAAATCAGATTTGAGATCATCTGCAAAAGGTATTCATGCAATTAAATTTTGCGTTAGAGAATGACATATGAGCTCTTCACTAGACGAATATGAATATTCAGGAGTTTTTTTTTACAATGACAAATCTTTGAGATCAATTGACTCTTACATAATTAACAAAATTAAAGGCATGTAGTGTCTATATTGATTGTAGAGAACAACAACGATTAGCAAAGTTTTTTAACAGCACTTCGCAGTGATTTTGAAGGACTTAGAGGTTCAATTCTACAACGTTCTTCACCATCTTTTGTTGACTCTGTTGTTAGTGAGTTATTAGCTAAAGAAATACGTCTCTAATATATGTTTAACTCCACTTCTGAATAGTTTATATATAAATACTTACTACCAAAAAATTGATAAATACAAACAGAAATACCAAGGGAATATTTTTGTTGGTAAATTTTTTATAGATTTTCTTGACGAAGAAATTCCCTCAGTATATACCGAGGGAATTACAGTGGGGAAAAAAATTAAAACAAAGCAAAAAAACAATGACGTGTTATTTTTACCAACAGAATTGCTAATAGACTAATTTCCGTCAGTAAATTCCACCATTAAAATCGTTGGTAAGCTGTGAACACTGTTCATCATGTCAATTACAAAGGGAATCACCGACGGAATATTCCATTAGCATTTTCCAGAGAGCTCTAGAACTGTTCACTTCCCAATTGCACTGTTAATTGTTGTTCTTTATAAATAACATCACTGACGGATTGAAAAGTCATCGGTGTTATTTGACGGTTTTCTAAAAAATTTCAATTCAATTAAAATTTTTAATTAAATATTATAGACGAAATCACCGACGGATTGAAAAGTTGTCGATGATATTTGGTAGTTTTAGAAAATTTTTGATTAAATTAAAAATTTTAATTAAATATTACAGACGAACTCACCAACAAAATAATAAAAATATTAATATTTAATTATCTGTATGTAAAACACCATTTTCTCAACAGACAGGGCTCATTTCTTCTTCTTCTTCTTCTTCTTCTGCTTCTCCTTCTCCTTCTTTCCTATATGTAAAAAACCTTCTTTTTTTTTCTTCTTCTTTGTTATATGTAAAAAACATCAATATCTATTTATTTCTCTTCTCTTCTCAACTCCTTCTCTTCTCCTCCATGCTAGGGTATGTCTTCTTCTCCTTTTTTTTTTCTTCTTAGTTTTTTTTAATTAATATGCTTTATGAATTTTTTTTTTCTCTTCATAACTTCACTTGCAACAACATTAAGGTAAGATTTTTTTTCTTCTTTTTTTTCATGTTTTTTTCATATATTTGTTTTTTATTTTATTTATAATTGTTTTTGTTCTTAATAATTGTATGAATGTTGTTGTGAGATTTTTTTTATATAAGATCAATTTTTAGTTGATTTATTTATAGGATTTTTAAATTTTCAGCAATCGCAACTTTATTTTTTTCATATGAATTTTTTTAGTTGAATTTATTTTTTCATGTTATTTATTTTTTGCAAATTTGTTTCAGTCAATTTTCTTCTCTTTCTTTCCAAGCAGTTTGAGTATATCTTATATAGTGTTTATTTATATTAATTTAATTATTTTATAATTTTTTAAAATATTTTTAAATAATTACCGACAGAATTACATATGGTATTTTTCTAAGGGAAATACAAACGAAATGAAGCAGGGTTTTTTTGCACACCTTTTCTGTCAGTAAATCCATCGGTAATAATATTTTTTTATTACCAACAGATTTATCGATGGATAAAAAATTACCGATGAAAGATTCACCAACGGAGCATTTCCGTCGGTAATTTCATTGGTAAATTAATTACCAGCGGAATGATAGTACAAATACCGACGGAAAATTCTATCGGTAAAACTGTTAATTATGGTAGTGTCTGTTGGTATTTTCATTTGAATTTACTAATTTTCTAGTAATGATTATGTTGGTGCAATTTTATATTATATTAAATAAACAAATAATTTGACAATGAAAGTGCTGAAAAAATGATGTTAAAAAATAATATAAATAATATCTTAAAACCTCACCTAACAGCTCAAGTTATTTGGTTGAGATGATTTTTCGACATAGTATAAGAACCTTGATGACCAAGTGGTCACGAGTTAGAATCTCACTATCTCTTTTATTTGATAAAAATTAAGCACAAAGTAATATAGAGCTATATCTTGAGACCTTACTTAACCATTTAAGCTATTAAGTTGAAATATTTTTTTAAAATATATTGTATATCTCAATTGAAAAGGAGGAATAAGAAAACAATAGCAAAGATATTTTATTTCTTTGTTACAATCTTAAATATTTTCTTATCTTATATATGAGGTACATTGAATAGAATAAAACTATTTTTTAACCTCATTTAATCTTAAGTTTTTTACTTGAATTGTAATTTGTCTTAGTAATAATGTTTTTTAAGTCAACTAGTTATAAATCCTATCACCATATTCTATTTTAATTAAAATATAACTCAATATATAGCACTGGCTTCCACATTAGAAAAAAGTATTTAAGATACCTAGATGTATGTGGGAGCTCGATTGGTCGTCTGGTTAAAACCCTATCCTAGACATGTGATGTGACCGATATTAAGTAGCCATTTCAACATTAGATCAATCATTGTCAATGCAGTCCTAGCGCAATAAAACAATTAAAAGAGAATCCATCACGTCTTCAATGTCATTTCCAAACTTTGATTTTTTTTCTTCTATCTTTTTGTTCCCTTCGGATTATTTGGGGATTTTCGAACGATATCCATAGCTCAAGCTCGACAAGCGACCAAAAAACGCAAGTGAATGCGGCCGGATAGGGACTTGGACCTTCTAACATTGGCCCATTGATCGGTATAAATAAAGATCATTACCTCTGATCTGTTTTCATTCCAAAACCCCTACAAAAGATTCCATACCATTTGGCAAATAGATTTCTAATTTTCTTTTACAAATTTTTCTCAGCCCTTTTAATTTACTAGAAATGGAGGAGGTGGCAATGGAAAAATCAGTGTCCAAGAGTGATGCAACAAATAATCGACTGGAACTTCCGATGGAAAGCCTTAGCAATTTCCCCATCCCTAATGGTCAAAATCATTTCGAATTTGTTGCAATGGACATGGTAGACCGGCCATGGGAATTCAAGGTCTCCATTCGCAACGAGGGAAAATATAAGAAGCCTTGGATGTCAGGCCAATGGGGGAGCTATGCTCGTGAGAAAAGGTTGAAGCAAGGAGATAGAGTTAAGTTGATTGTGCAAGTGGAGGGAAATGTTGTCAGGAGTTATCGTATCACGGCTGAAAGAAACCTGACGATGGGCATCTGGATTCCAGTTGAAGATTTTGCAAGCTAAAAATGGAAAAACTTAAGGTGTGTTATAAGAAATGTTGCCCCTTTCTTCCTTGATGTTAAGTCTTGTTGTTGTAATTTTGGTATTAAGTTAATTAGACTAGTTGCTTGGTACCTTGCTTCCTTTGTAGTTGTTTGCACCATTGATCACTGGTTCATGTACTTCATGTTTTGTGTAGACTTACCACCACATGGTGGTATGTCGGGTATTAATTTCCATTTTTTCTTTTATAAGAAAAGGGCATGCTATTATGAGTATTTTGGCTTGTAATTCTGTATTTGTGGGTTATTTTGGTGTTTTTTTTCTTAATTTTTTTAAGTAGTATGATACCATGACATCAACTAGAACTTCCTGAAATTAAAAAAAAAATTATACATCAAAGAAAATTAAGAGTCGTTGCTTAATAATAATTAAAAGAATTAGATATTCTAAAATGTACATGGGCTCATATCAAGAAAAATTAAAAATTATCATCTAATAATTAAAAAAATTAAAAATTCTAAAATATATATTAACATAAAAAATTCAAATAAAAAGTTAATTATCTTTAATAGAAGCACAACATCACTTTTATTGTATCATTTCTTATAAAATGTTAGTTTTATTATTTGTTTTTCTTCTAGATTTATCTGTAATTATTATTGCACTATTTCGTAATAATCTTTAAAAATTATTTATAAAAAACATCTAACATCCTCTTTTTTTTTTTTTAAGGATTCGCAACTCGAATGTGTTACCGACATGTAGGGCCCGAGTTTTTATTTCGCTTTCTTTCTTTCAGTATTTCAAGTTGGGAAAGCCACTCTTTATGGAACAAGATAGTATTAATTAATGCTGGATCGTTAACATCCATCAGACTTCTGGAAGACACCATGTGTCTTAATTCTTGAAAGCTAACATCCATAAGAATCATGGCAGATGCTTGGAAGGACCCACTAATCATTTTCTTAATTCTTGAAAGCTAATATCTTTCAAAGGCCTTTATGGCCGTCAACAAATGAGATGCTCATGAGTTTTGATTTCTATCAATTTTATTTTTTTTATTTAATTAAATTAAATAAGTTTAATACAATGTAATGGTGAGTATATTTAATATTTAAGGATAAAAAACTTTTATTTAATGAGATGTGTTAAAAAAATTTAAAAGTCCAAAAAAGATTGTTACCGAGCCATTAGAATTATTTAGAAACTATTTTAAATATTAACCTTTGTAAATTTAACTGGCCGATAGATTAATTGACTAGTGAAACATGAATAAAATTAAATAAATATTTTTATTTTATTTTTTAAAAATAATATTATTTAAATTATTTTTTAAATATTATTTTAAAATTAATTCAGATTATCACGATCCAATCCAAACTCTCAATTAGTTTTAAAATATTATTGTTTTTACTGTATTAATTAATGTGGTGTTTTTAGTCCTCAAGCAAATCAGATACTCCCATGAAGCGCGCAGCTTTGCCGATGCAAAAACCCTTTCTTCGTGAAGGATTTTCCAAATTGTCTGAAATCATGGAAGGTGAAATCATGCATAAAACGTCAGATTATGAAATCATCCATGACGGTCAGATTATGAAATCAGCTGACATACGTGTCTGATCACTTGTCTGAAATAAGATAAGCTTTAATGATTCTTTTAATTTTTCAATATGATTAGTGGGTCCATGGAGATGAAACATTAATCTTTTCATTTATTTTTCGACTACTCTAATAAACGACTAAACTCGCACGGCCTTTTCTTTAGGGAGCTGGTGTGATGTATCATTTTCTTAATTTCGTACAGAGTTGCTTTGGAATCAGTCAATTTAATATAATTTATATTATTTGTTAATATAACCAAAAAATTGAAGTAAAAAAACTTTAAACAAATAAAACTCTGGCTTCAGATTTAAAAAATATATAACTTGTACAATTACAAAAATTATTTAGGATTTGACTTAAGCAAAAATTACAAATTAATTACACAATAATTTTAAAAGGTCCAAAATCCTACTAGCAATTGACCATGATTCTATTAATCTATTGATCAAATATCATAGTATCTTAAGAAATAAATGCCATGTGATTAATTACCAGTCCACTCATTAATTAAAATTAGTATTAGTTAATCATCAGACAACATGTGTCATGATATGATTTGATGTGTAAACTTTTCAGAAGTGCAGCTAAATGTACATGTGTCACATGATAAATGATTAATACTAATTTGAATTAAAGAATTAGATCTAATCAAATAATTTATTGAAAGACCGATGGCATGATATAATTCTATTTAAAGAGTATTAAATACATTTTTGTCTCAAACTTTATCCACCCTTTCTCACTACAAAAAGAATTTACCGATGAAATTTCTTCCAAGATCACTGAAAGTTTCTTGCTATCTACACTTTATGTCTTGAATTTTGCCAGATGCGAACGATCGATGAAATGCAAGGGTCTAGACAGCTTGTGAGAGTTGGGTTGCGGGTCTTCACATCTTGACCTTGATGCTTGCCTCTTTGGCAGCTAGCTTAATCGTTTAGTTTGATGGATGAAAATTTTTGTTGATATTTATATTTATAATATATCAGTAAGTATTTTATTAGTAGAATCATAAATAAAAATAGTTAATTAAAAAAACTATCATGAGTAATTTTGGGTTTGTTATAACATCACCTCAAACTCGGGAGTGAGTGCTTGGAATCAATTGTGAGCATCTAGTGGTCGAAATACTATGGATCGTCCACAAGTTCTTTGTTGTAATGTTAAATAGTCCATACATCCAATTTCTATCAGGCTCACTAGACGATCTTTTGTCCAATCACAAATCTAGATCGAGATCCAAATTAGTCAAAGGATCGTCCCCGTATCTCTCCTTTAAGCGGTTGTTAATGTATCTTAAAAAGAAAAAAATAGATTCATCAAATTGAAGGAAATTATAACTTAATGAAAAAATGGTTGAAAACCAACATACCACTAAGTGTTGAGCTTGAGAATTAATAAACTATTGTATTTTTTTTTTTGCGGTCATCACTTTGCATGTGAATAAAAAGTTCCATTGGACTTGACTTATGTCCAAAAACCATTGCCTGCAAGATAAAAATGTTATCATTTAAATATATTTACAAAAATAAAAGTATTAAAAAAATATATTACCTTTCGATTCGCATGCAAAATAAATGAAACAGAGTCGTCGGTGTGCGTGGCAACAGAACAACGAACACACTGGTGCTAATTCTCCATATCAACTATTATATCACGTGTTGAATGTAATCTATCCATGTAGCCTTCGACATGTATGGCTGCCTAGAATCCTTCCAAACAACCATGTAATTTGTGAATACCCTTTCTTTGTGAAGGATTTTTCCAAATTGTCTAAAATCATGGAAGGTGAAATCATGCATAAAACGTCAGATTATGAAATCATCCATGACGTCAGATTATGAAATCAGCTGACATACGTGTCTGATCAGTTGTCTGAAATAAGATAGCTTTAATGATTCTTTTAATTTTTCAATATGATTAGTGGGTCCATGGAGATGAAACATTAATCTTTTCATTTATTTTTCGACTACTCTAATAAACGACCAAACTCGCGCGGCCTTTTCTTTAGGGAGTTGGTGTGATGTATCATTTTCTTAATTTAGTACAGAGTTATCTTGCAATCAGTTAATTTAATATAATTTATATTATTTTTTAATATAATTAAAAAATTTAAATAGAAAAAACTTTAAACAAATAAAACTCTAGCTTTAAATTTAAAAAATATATAAACATAACTTGTACAATTATAAAAATTATTTAAGATTTGACTTAAGCAAAAATTACAAATTAATTACACAATAATTTTAAAAGGACCTGCTAGCAATCTACCATGATTCTTTTAATCTATTGATCAAATATCATAGTATCTTAAGAAATAAATCCCATGTAATTAATTACTAATCCACTCATTAATTAAAATTAGTATTAGTTAATCATCAGATAACATGTGTTATGATATGATTTGATGTGTAAACTTTTTAGAAGTGCAGCTAAATGTACATGTGTCACATGATAAATGATTAATACTTATTTGAATTAAAGAATTAGATCTAATCAAATAATTTATTGAAAGACCGATGGCATGATATAATTCTATTTAAAGAGTATTAAATACATTTTTGTCTCAAACTTTATCCACCCTTTCTCACTACAAAAAAAATTTACCGATGAAATTTCTTCCAAGATCACTGAAAGTTTCTTGCTATCTGCACTTTATGTCTTGCATTTTGCCAGATGCGAACGATCGATGAAATGCAAGGGTCTAGACAGCTTGTGAGTGTTGGGTTGCGGGTCTTCACATCTTGACCTTGATGCTTGTCTCTTTGGCAGCTAGCTTAATCGTTTAGTTCGATGGATGAAAATTTTTGTTGATATTTATCTTTATAATATATCAGTAAGTATTTTATTAGTAGACTCATAAATAAAAATAGTTAATTAAAAAAATTCTCATGAGTAATTTTTGGTTTGTTGGTAAGTCCGTCGATATTAAATTTACCAATATAACTAAATAGATAAAGTCATGATTATGCTTGGTGTTAGGCTGATTCGCATCATCCCCTCTCTCTTCAAAAGGATTCGACCTCGAATCATCACCTACATCAAACAGAGTAAGATCAGAAACATTAAAGGTAGCACTAACACTATACTCACCTAGCAAATCAACTTTACAAGCGTTGTCATTCATCCTCTCAAGGATCTGAAATGGCCCATCTCCTCGTGGTTGTAGCTTTGACTTCCTCTGGGCCGGAAATCTCTCCTTGCGCATATGCACCCAAACCCAATCGCCAGGCTGAAAGACAACATGTTTGCGCCCCTTATTGGCTTTGGTCGCATACACGCGATTCCTCTTTTCAATCTGTTGCCGCACACTCTCATGAAGAGTTTTCACCACCTGTGCTTTACGATTACCATCCAAACTAACCCTTTCATCAATAGGCAAAGGAATCAAATCCATTGGAGTTAAAGGGTTAAATTCA